TTTGCGGTAGGCTATAATAGCGCCTTTGATGCAAAATTCTCTGCGTTCACGCCCTATCACCAGCTGATAGCAGATATCAGTGACGAGCTGACGCCGTTCCGAACGTCGCATTTGTCGCGGCATCTACAGTAATAGATATTTTCGGTGGCGTATGTTGCGATAAGGATTCAAAAAAGTTATCTATGAAAAAAGAAAACTACCCGCAAAAGGACAAAAACGAAACAAAGAAATGCTCTCGAATATCTACAGTATGGAAATGTGCGATTTGATTCCTAAGTCAATGTTATTTGAAGAGACTTCATCATGTTATGGAAAACTAGCTATGAATTCAGAGGGCAAGGATACGCCACACATTCATCATACGCACAGAATTTTGAAGCGATGTGAATAAGAGAATAGCGTTTACGACTTCCCTATCCAATGCTCGAGAAAGAAATCCTCACCCTTTACGTGAATTTCATACCGATTAAGTGATATCATGGCCGACGATCATAAGATCCAGGCAGGATCCAATCCTCGAATCGCTCGTGTGGTAATGGCGCCTCTTGCGATTGCCCAACCATTGTCTAAACCGGCTATCAACTTTTTAATGAAGTTCTGCTCGAAGTCAGATTCTTTATTCAATGGGCTAGGCATACAAGGCACACCTGCAAAATAGACAGGACGAAAACGAGGAAAAAAGAAAAAATGAGAAAAAAGACTGCATAATAAGAGATCAATTCCAAACAGAACAAGAGCAGTGCAGCATAGTTTTGTCCTAGTACCCATCATTTCTTCATCGCCGCCTATAGCTATCGCGTTGATGAACCCCAAATGCGTCGAAGAAATGGCTTCAAGAGTTGTGGCTCCTAGCAGACGTCTTTCCACACGCCAACTGGTCGTCCCTAAAACTTCACATTGGACTTGGAACCGTAACTTTCTCCATATTGCATTTTCGGGTTCTCTCAGATGGTTCTTCGACACAACATTGGGAACACTGGAGAGAAGGTAGAATCAGTGGAGAAATTTGTCACTCCGAAAGTGACATCATCTTCTTCATGGAAAGTTTAACTATCACTTCTTTATGAAGGTTGTGTAGTGGCAGGTGGGGCCACTTGCAACTCACACGGTCCGAGGATCAAGGGCCGGGTGCAGCACGGTCCGGCCGGGGATGGGTCTCCAAAACTTCTTATCTCTACTCCAGTCGATGACGCAGTCCTCATGGTCAACAATAGGAGTTAAGTCCTAAGATGCCGAGTGTCGGGGACCTATTCCCGGCCGAACCTTCCCGCACCCGGCCCCAAGTCATTATACACCGACTAGACCAGCCAGGTCTCCCACTCCCAGAGGTCTTTCAAATTGATGTGAACTGATTGGTTTACAGGTCGGCTGGGATGATAAAAACATTTGACTTGTACATGTAGTGGTCACCATATTGTCCTAGTCGAATTCAAGTGTCACTACGATTCTAAGTAGAACCTGAGTGCATGGCGTATCCCCGAAGAAACTGCTGAATGCCGAACGCTTCATATCTACCTTTTACCTTGCCTTGGAAAGAGTGAGGCACTATCAAAAACGCCGTTATCGAGGGCTTTGTTCATGGATGAAACCCAAATCGTGTCACCCTTAGATTAAGCTTTCCTCCCTTCTGGTTCTGATACCGGAAACATCTGGGGGACCAAAAACACTGACTTGCACATCGGTTGTTTGCCCCCCCCCCCTCACCCCACCTCTCAACCACGGTGTAGGTCAAATACGTTCAGAAGCCACTACGATTCAGACCGGAAGTTAACTGTTTGGCGCATCAAAAGATTCAACATCAAAAAATAATCAGGACCGAGCAGTTAAATATTATTTTTACCGAAATTTTGCGAAAAGGAGAGTATTGGCAGGATCAATCATTCCTTGTAAAGCGGAAATGTAACGGCAAAAATCAAACACTTGAAAGTCTCACATCTCCATTGACAGCATTCCTCATCAAGCACTGCACGCTTTCAGACATGGTCTCCAATTCATCAGCCGCTTCTCGGAAGCTTCAATATCTGCCGAAAATGTCTCCATTATTTCAAGCAACGAAACATCTTTATCATCGTCAACTTCGGTCGTACCATTTACTTGAGCCGATTCTTCAACTTCACTCTGAAAAAGAACCCGTTTTAACTAACATAAGCCTGTCCCCCTAAATGCATGAACACGTACTTTACACTGATTTCCACTGGCGCCCTCAGCTGAGCAAACCTCCTGTTTAACAGGTACGCTCGTCTCAAGCGAATCATCTACGATGCCTTCTGCCTAAAGAGGATTTTTTGACAGCAGTCTGAATTTCTACATTTAAAAAGTTTCAGGCTCTGATACGCCACTCAATTAGGCTTGAAGGTAAACAACAGAAGTGAAACCGACGTTGTGCAAGCCTTTTACGGATGCGCCGTGCACACGCATTCCATCCAAAATCGCAGAAGCGGAGAAAAGAGTCTGATCTAACTAATGGAATGAGGGGTCAGTCGACATCAAGTTTGTCGCTTTCATCCTCCATTCATTTCATCTTTCATCCATATAAAGTGCGATACCGAATAAAAGGAACATAAAAAACGCTGCACAGTTTAGTTAACATCAGTGGAATCTGATTCACAAGCCGAAACTTCTCCTACTAGTATTCAAACTTTTAAGGAATTGAAGGAGAGTCAGTATCAAGAAGAGCGAGAGTTTACAAGGCATCTCAAAAGGGCCTACTTTGCGCTGTTTTGAAGAAAAACACTTCAACCCAAAGTTATGCATCATGAAACGCATCACCTTGCCTACAGTCGTGCCATCCCAAACGTATAGTACGACCATTCGCTAATACATCCTTAGAGTCCTTATATCGTCAAATTGTGCTGAGCTGCAAAGGTTGATGAACATGATCGAGGTTCGTCTGGGGTAGAAGCAACACGAACTAAATGTTCTTCATCAAGCTAGACTTCCTCTGCGCTTCTATATATGGATCAAACGACTTTTCTTCAAGTTCGCCCCATTCACGAGCTCTGAGGAACATGCAAGCGGCGGCCGCGCTCGCGAAATCGCGCTTGTCCCACGCGACCAAAAAAGCAACCGCGAGCGCTGTCCTAACTCGCGCAACTGCAGTCACTGCGTCAGTATGA